CTTCTTCTTTTTTTTTTTTTTTTTGCTACTAGGGATTGAACTCAGGACCTTGCACTTGTGAAGTAGGTGGCGGCATCACTGAGCTAAATCCCTGGCCCGGCCCTACTACTTAATCATTCCAAAACCTCTCAACGCTATCACACCAGAACCAGTGCAAATGAACCTCTAGGGGACAAACCATTGACAGTAGCCTCAGAACGAGGCCTAGCACTTTAGCTGTACTTATTGTGCCAGCTCTGTAAATAAATCCCTTCTCCAAGGCGTTTCCTAGCTTTTCACTGAGGCAGAGTCAGAACCTTAGAAAATACAGTGGGAACTAGCGACAGGTTGAAGTTTGAAATGTTTTTGTCTGTGACCCATAATAAACATTACATTTTACAGAAGGGCCCAACACACATTCACATAAGTCAAATAATACTTCCCCGAAGTACAGATAAGCATTCTGACATTTTTCTGTTCTGCATTTCCTTTTTTTTTCTTTTTAATACCAGTTACATCATACTAATTTTTTTTTTTGCAGTATAATTAACCATTGTTTTTTTAAAGCTCAGCATAGATGAAGCATGACCAAAATAAGGCATGAACAGTCCGAGGAGTCTTCCACCTTCACTCAGGCACTGGGATCCCCCGTATTCCTTGACCTGCCTTTACATCATTTTGATCTGTGTTGCCTTGCAGCAACAATTGGTCATGCACACTTATGGTGTCCCCTGCCGTCCTGAGAGCATTGGGTGACAGTGCTCAGCTTTCATGAGCTCTGTTGCCTGTCCTTTGGCTCCTGTCACTGTATTTACAGCCAGTGAAGTCCTACACGCAGGGTGAAAGAAAACTTTGAGGATAAAAATTACACTGTGCTTATCTGTAAGTCCTGAAGTAGATGTTAGAATCTCTGAGAAAACTAGATGAGTTTCATCTCTTGCTCCCATTTCATAGTGGCTTACCAAGATTAAACTTGTTCCTAGAAAATCTTCTATTTTGAGCCAGGAAAATATTTAAATGTAATTCTAGAACACAATAGGGGATGAGTATATTTGCCTATTTGAATAAACTTCCTCAACTTTACAGAATTTGGGAAACTGAGGCAAGAGGATTGCTACAAGTTCAAGACCAGCCTGGGCTATATAGCAAGACCCAATCTCAAATGATCAATCAATCAGTCAATCAAACTGATTTTAAAAGCATCTATAGATTTAGCCTGAAGTTAAAATATTGAATCTGCTAAACATTACTAGTTAATAGATACGGTTAAAATAATACATGCCTTTGAACCATTTTTAACATACACAAACGTACCTAAAAGGAAACTTTCTCAAAACACTTGAATTGCACACTGATACAGTCTGTTACGTTATTTAACCATTTTAGTGGCAGTTACCACCCATTAAATTACTTTCATTATATTGTAGCTGTCCTAGACTGTTTTAAACTCAGCTTCTTGCCTGGCTTCTTGCCACAGCTCCGCTCTTGTCCTGGCAGGGCGTCTATGTGGATGAGTGACCCAGTACCCAAGGTTCAGAGCCCTTGATTCCCTGGCCCCAGTGACTGTTACCTCTACTTCCTTCCACAGCTTCGCTTCTGGCCCACAGTTGAGACACAGTCATCTCCAGAACTGCTCTCCAGCTCACTTGTTATAGGCCCCTAGCCCCAGGGCCTTCCTGCCTCTTCAGTGCTGGACCCCTCAAGTCAGGCCTCATGTCCCTGAGCCTCTTCCTTCCTGTCGGCCGCCTTCCCTTCTCCCTGCTCCTAGCCGGGACGTGTTCATTGGACTCTCCACTTGACCATAACATGGTGGACACATGGAAGGTAGATGTGCAGTGTTGCTGAATGAATACCAACAAGGGAAGCTCCTTTGAAAATAACCTTCCCTAGCTGGGCATGGTGGTATACACCTGTATGTAATGCTAGCATTTCGGAGGCAGAGGCGGGAAGATCATGAGTTCAAGACCAGCCTGGACTGTGTAACAAATTCAAGGCTGGCCTAGAATACGTACTATAGTGAGATCCTATGTCAAAAACAAAACAAAACAAAGAATACGATTTTTTTTATTTGGTTGATTATTTTGGGTTGTTTTCCTTTGTTTTGATTTTTTGAGGGTCTCACTTTGAAATTCAGGCTGGCCCTGAACTCACTAAGTAGCCAAGGCTGGCCTTGAACTTGTGGTGATCCTCCTGCCTCATCCTTAGTGCTGAGATTATAGGCATGTGCCACTATGCTTGGCTTGATTTAAAATTTTTTTAATTAATTAATTTTATCATGACATTCATCATTAGAAATTTGCACCTTTACATAATCCATCTTGCTTCTTATTTTCCCCCCATTCCCCTGCCCTCCCTTCAACCCCTCCTCCCCTATCTACAGACTTTGCTTCCATTTTTTCTTTTTCTCATATTAATTCCATTCCCTTCTTTCCTTTCTCCTACCCCTCCCACTTCCCTTTCCCTTTGCACCTTTTCTTCCTATTTCACATTATCTATTATACCTTTAGTCCTTATTTACACTTTCAGTTTTTCACACTAGAGAAACTATTTGTTCTTTACACTTATGTGTCCTATAAATTTCACTTAAAAGTATCACCTCAATGTGCATCCATGTCTCTAGTAAAAGAACCCAACAACTCCCCCAAAAGTCCTCTAGACTTAATAACCAAATTCAGCAAAGTAGCTGGATACAAGGTCAGCACACAAAAATCAGTGGCTTTCCTGTCCATGAAAGACAGACTCATAGAGAAATGGAGCAAACAGTTCCTTTCACAGTAGCATCCAAAAAATTGAAGTACCTAAGAATCCACCTAACAAAGGAAATCAAAGACCTGTCCTCTGAAAACTACAGCACTCTGAAAAAATAGATTGATGAGGATATCAGAAAATGGAAAGAGATCTTGCTACTGGGTAGGAAGAATCAACATAGTGAAAATGGCCATACTTCCAAAACTGCTATATCGATTCAGTGTAATCCCAATTGAAATCCCAGCAGCATGCTTTACAGACCTTGGGAAGGCAATCCAAAAATTCATTTGGAACAAGAGACCTAGAATAGCAAAAGCCATTCTAAGCAATAAAGACAAGGTGGGGAACATCACAATCCCCAACTTGAAACTATACTTCAAAGCTGTTGTTAATTACCTAATTTTCATTGCTTCTGGATGTAGGCACACATTTGTTGCGTATAAAATTCAAAACCTTTTATTTAAAGAACAGAAATGACCTCAATGACTAAAAATTTTTTTCTCTTAAAACAAATGGAGGATCAGGGATATAGCTCAGCAGTCAGCACCTGCCTGGCAGACTCGAGTCCCTGAGTTGGATTCCTGATATCCCCACACACAAAAAAAAATGGAGCTGGACATTGTGACACATGCCTGGAATCTCAGCAGTTAGCAGGCAGAGGCAGGAAGATCACTGTGAGTTCAAGGCCAGCCTGACTACATAGTGAAACTGTCGAAAGAAAGAAAGGAAAAAAGAAAGAGAAAAGTAGAGTTCACAGCATAATTGTAGGTGGACACTTGGCTGCTGTGGAAGCATTGGGACTGCATTAGAGCAGGGAGAAGTGAGGGCAAATGACTTACGAGGCTTTTTGCAGTCCTTGCTCTTTACGCGTGTGTTCGCAGTAGTTTAGATGATCTTACATTTTAGAACAAGAAAACAAGTCTCAGCAGTGACC